CTTAAAATATTTACAGACCCGTTTACTAAACGGGTCGGCTATGGTCTTATATTGTCCAGACCATTATACCCAGACCCGACTAACATTTTCATAATTAATATGTTTTATTTTAATTTTCTTATATACTTTTCAATCATTATATCTTATTTAATATGAGGCGTATGCCAATGAGAACCAACAATAATTTCTGAAAGAAAAAAAAAAGATTAATAAACCAGATTATAAAACCCGATTTTATGCACCCTTTTAAAAAAGATTTTTTTAAGAAAAAGACTTTTCAAGTTAAATTAAAATTCGCTTTGGGAATAATCTTTAACAAGTTTTATACTTGTTAAAGAGACTTGTTAAACAGCGACTTTCACCTGAATTAAGAGTATTACCGAAAACTAAAAAAGAATATGCACTTCAAAAGTTTGGGCATCTTATAAAAAGTTTAAATCAATGGTCAGTATAAAACATAGTGTAACTATTGTTCGCATTCTTTATCGGCAAGACTTACAGATGGAACTTGTCACTTGGTCAAACACTTGAGGACTAAACACCCACAAATTTGTTCCCCGATAAAAATTCAAATCTTTTTACAGAGTGGTAAGTAATTGTTGATGGTATTTTGAAGTCTAAAGTTTCAAATTTAATCAAGAAAGAAATAGAAACGACTTGGCCTGTAAGATAATTCTTCACGAATATCCTTTTTCAATTGTTGAACATTGCGGTTTTAGAGAGTATAGTAAAAATCTACAACCTCTTTTCAAAATGGTTTTTTGACGTACAATAACAAATGATAGTTTGAAATTCTTCGAGGATGAAAAGAAAATGTTAAAAGGTGTAATGGAAAAGCTTCAATGTCGAATTAATTTCACAAGTGATTTGTTGACGTCTATTCAAAATAAATCCTACATTGACCTTATCTGCCACTATATTGAAAACAATTGGAGACTAAAAAAGCATATACTTAATTTTATTGATATTAATGCGCCTCATACTGCAACAGCACTATATAAAACTTTACTTGAGAAGTTATACAAATTATACAAAACCTATATATTTTTACGAAGTAAATCTTTTCTCTAAAACAATAATTCCAAAAGCAAACTAATACTTTAATCGTATTTGCAAAATTTACAAATTTAAAAAATTTTATCTGTGAAAAGGGGAAGAAAATGATGGCAAAATTTTCAACATATTAGAAAATTAATTCTGATATATTAGCCATTACATCTGTGTTGGACCTGCGTTATAAAATGATTAGCGTTGAGTTCACGGAAATTTATGGCGCTGCAAGTAAACAGAAGTTAAAAAATATTAATGGACTATTAAAAAAGATGCATAATCAGTACGCTGCTAAATATTTCAACACGTTAAACACTCAAGTGCTAAAAGAAAATATTTCAAATCAGTCTACTTCTTCTACTTCTTTTTTATAATCAAAAAGGATTGACAAATTCAAAAAACATGTGGCCTTAAAATCTTCTTCTTTGGAACTAAAAAATGAATTACAGTTTTACTTAGATAAGCCAATCAAGAAAGATTCAACATACTAGAATGGTGGAGACATGTTGGTGTCAGATTTCCAGTTATACAATGTTAAGCAAGAGATATTTTGTTGATTCCGTTGTCTACTTGTTTCTTAGTCAGTCTTTTTTTAGTCAGTCTAGCACAGGTGGTAGAGTTCTTAATAAATATTTTAATTCTATGATTCCAAACCACTGATCTCAAAATATAACTGGATAGCGGATTCTATTGTTTTTTCCGAAAAAAGCTGAAACCGAAATTGGCCTCCCAAGATGGCGGCGATTTTAGTTCCTAGCGGTGAAACCGATATACATTCTATTTTTATTATTAAATGGAATGAGTGAATTTTACAATTTTAGTTTTATGTATAATTTATGTGCCTTTTTGTTCTAACTAAGAAGGCTATAACTAAGAATAAGAACCCAATGCTGTATTCTAGAAGGTTAATAACTTCTGTTGTTTACCATTCATAACAGCATGGTAAACAGCAGCAATCATGCCTACTTACAATTTTATACTTTATATTTTTTAAGCAAGATTTTGTACAATTGCTGCATGAGTGCTGTAAATACACAAAAACTCAGAGGCTTCTTCTAGAATTATATTATATTTAAATGCTATTATTGCATAAATTATGATTAAAATGTTTTAAAGTGTCACTTATATTGGTAAAAAAAACACAGGTCTGAATTTTAGTTATTTATAATAACTTTTAAAACAAATAAAATGTAAATAATCATTTCTTATAACTTTAAGGATAATTACTGAGTACAATCGGTGATGAAAATGTATGTAAAAATACATTTGTTTGAAAAAAATGTATTTATTAAATTTTTAATATACAAATATTCAAAACACCTTTTTGAAATATCTCTTTAATTAAAGTTATATATAATGTTTACCTGCTGTTAAGAATTACGGATATATGTTATAGTTTGCTGACTTTTTTTATATTATTAAACTGTATGTTGCAGTTAAATAATGTTGGTTAAAATCTAAACTTCGAGGTATTTTAGGTTGGTTAAAATCTAAACTTCTAGGTATTTTAGTTTATAACCTTAAGTTTTAATTCACTTTAACTTATTTACTAATTTTAATTTTTTGATTAAAAGAAAAAAAACGGTAATGCGATCTCCATTTATGAAAACGAAAACGAAGCTGCTCTAATTTCTAAGGAAAAAAAGGAAAATACTATTGAGCTTTGTCAATATGAAGACTTGTGCAAGATTTTGTTCGGAATTTACATGAAGTCTAACAATGTTATTAATAGAATTATTAAAAAAAGTTTTCTATTATTTTCTGAAGTTTTTATTCACCGTAATCTTAAATTATAATTTAACTAAAAAATAAAAACCCAACCTCGTTAAAAATATTTTTCTAACAAAATCAAGTATACCTTTTGATTTTGTATAAGAAAAAAGAGCATTATAAGTCTTTGAACGTGGTTAGGTCGTGGTTTTTAGCTATTATAGTAGTTACATTATAGGAGGGGTTTTGGTACATACATAAGTAATAAATAAGGCCTTTTGATTGTTGGCCTATGAATCTTAATTATTGAGCAGAAACCTTCACCTTCCGGTCTGAACGCCATATTAGAAGACATACAACGAAAGAGTTTGCATAATTTAGGGTCTTACCAATCATAGGCGTTCAATTTGAGACCCACGTTTGATTTAAACGTGACTGATATGTTCAAAGAAAAACAAAAATGGTTACTAAAAAAAAGTGGAGTGGTCAATATCTAACCACTAGACAATACACTATACAATCTAAAAAGTATATTAGCGCGGTGCATTCAACCTGGTGCAAAGTTGCAAATAAAAGTCCTGAAAGACTTTTTCGGATTTTTGAGTACGAGCAACACCGGAAAAGTATCTTGCATGAGGTACCTGTTCATAAAGCATACAAAACAAGGTCCGGGTCGGTTTTGTTAAAACACGACCCGAACCCAGACCCGTTTATACAAGTCGGGTCCAGGTCCACTGATACCCAACCCAGATCCAACCCACTACCAGCCCTAGTCATAAGAGTTGTTGAGTTGTTTAATCATGATCTTTTTAGAACCATTTTGATAAATTTGAAATATGTATGAGCTTTACAAAAATAGGGAGCACTGTTTTTTTTTTCTTTTAACTTTTTTTGGTCTAGCGCATTTTGCTATATTATAACTAAAACGATTTAACAAAATTTCTAAAATATGACTGCAATTATTAAATGTGCGTTTTAAAGCTCTAAAAGCATGTAATTGACGGTTATTAAATATAAAAAAGTATTACTAATACTAAATATTCAGAGCAGCCGTGGTGCAGTGGTTAGAGTTCTGGCTCAGAACCCAGAGCTCCAAGATTTGACTCCGGATCTAATCCAACAAGCGACATTGGTAAAGAAGGAGGCGTAAACTTACTGTTAAATTCTCTACCGCAGTGCTCTTTGATAAGACTTTAAGGACTTATCATGGACTTATCACATATACCTTAATGACTTAATACAATGTATATATATATATATATATATATATATATATATATATATATATATATATATATATATATATATATATATATATATATATATATATATATATATATATATGTATATATATATATATATATATATATATATATATATATATATATATATATATATATATATATATATATATATATGATATATATATATATATATATATATATATATATATATATATATATATATATATATATATATATATATTGTATTAAGTCATTAAGGTACTCCATGATAAGCTCTTAAAGTCTTATCAAAGAACACTGCGGGAGAGAATTTAACAGTAAGTTTACGCCTCCTTCCTTACCAATGTCGCTTGTTGGATTAGAGCCGAAGTCAAACCTTGGAACTCTGGGTTCTGAGCCAGAACTCTAACCACTGCACCACGGCTGCTCTAAATATTAAACTATTTTTTGTTTTTATACCATTCATAACTGATTATGCTATTTTTAACTAAAAATTATGCATGAGATCTTATTACAAAAGTATAATGTAAAAATATTATACTACGATTTATAATAACATAAATAATTACTAAAGTCAAAATTACAAAAACAATTTCTAAAAGAAAAACTTGTTTTTGTTGTTCAATTATTTCAATTTTTTTTTTTTAGTTTACAATGTTAATCGTGATACATAATAATGTATGTATACATAATAATATAAAGTAAGTACATAATAAGATGGGGTGCACAGTTGTGAGATTGTTATTTAACAATCTCTAATTAAAATAATTAAACAACAATTTAAAAAAAATGTAAACAACAAACAAAATGAAATAAAAAACGAAAATATCAAAAAGTTGACAAAATACTTCAAGTTAGTGTTACTAGTCTTTTCTGGGTTGTTTTGATTATTATAAGTTAAAATTTGAAACTTTAAATACTGTTAGAAGATTATGTCAGTATCTATCTATTATTAATTGGTAAAAAGTTAGCTTGTCAAAACAAGAAATTTTCATATTATTTATCTATTTAGTATAATTAACAACCAGTTTTTTTTTTTTTAAAAAAAAAACGATTTTCGGCTTCAAGAAAACTGTACAAAAAACCGGTTAATCGGTTGCGGTTTCCACCGGTTGCCAAGCCCTAATGTATATATATATATATATATATATATATATATATATATATATATATATATATATATATATATATATATATATATATATATATATATATATATATATATATACATATATATATATATATAATTGGAAAAACTATTTGAGAGTTTTTTTTATCTCGATTAATTAAGTTATTTAACCAATAATTAAATTTTTTTTTTTTTATTGGTTTACAAATATTTCTGAAGATTTACTTCCCGCCTGAAAAAAACTTTAGGGTCCCTTAAGGGTTTGCCCTTAAGTTATACTTACGAAAATGTCCGCGCCGAATTGAAGGGTCCCTTAAGGGCTAGCCCGAAAGCGACCAAAAAAAAAACCACGCGATACTACTCAGAAAATGAGTAGCAAAGCGTGGTTGGTTTCTAAGTGATTTTTTTTTAAATTCAAATATTCAAAACTATAAAATATAATTTATATACTATTTCTTGTTAAGTATTACATTTTCTCATATACATTTTATTTAGATTTTTATTATACATTTTGTTTAGATTTTGAGATTTTTTTTATATATTTATATATTACTACGGATATTAGTTATTTGAAAAAGTCTTTCGCCTTTTTTGTCGGAAATCGTTATCGTTTTCGTTGTCCTCTTCACTTCTCACTTCACTGTCATTATCTTTTTCTTCCTCAATCGAAACTTCTGCCTTTTTCTTAAATCGCAGCAGACGACCGCCAGAGCGATCTCTGGCGTTATTGAAAAATCGTGCTACCTTTAACTCAATTTCTTTTGCCGTTATGCCAGGGAAAAAGTGAACAGTTGAAACTATAAATCCATTAAATGAAAATAATAAATTAATTATTACTACTTATTTAAATCTATGATTATAATTAAGTAGTAATTATTTTAACACTTTTATATTAACACGATATTATAACACTAGATTATACTTAAATATATGAATTCACACGTACAATAGACTGTTATATATGATCAATATAAATATATTTTAAATATAAAATTCATTTTATTGTCTTAGTTCACATTAGATCTGAATTAAACTCACTTTTGAGCAGATTCTCCAGATGATCAAAAAACTTAAGTTTGCCATGAGTTCCAGGCCTGTTAATAACTTCCTGCAGGCCATGTGATAGCAACTTGTTCAGTACCCTCGAAATATGGTCATGGGCAGTCACTCCTCCTTCAAGCTTCATCCATGACAACTAACAAATATATAGGACATCCATGACAAATTAAAAAAAACTATTATCATATTAATCAATTTCTATTATAATTAGATTCCTTCCCAAAACAAACCAAAACTAATCAGAAATTAATTAAAATTTACCATATTCTTTGGGTGCTTTTCAACGTCAGAATACTGCAGCCGAAAAGTAAAAATTGGAAATTGAATTTGACATATCTGATCAACCGGATCACTAACAACACGAGCTTCCAATCTTGCTTGTCTCTGCTCAATATTGGTTAACTTTAACTGTATTGAACTCAGTTCACGAAGGACGTATGCATTCATAAGAAAATGACCTGTTATAATAACCACAAAAAGATCACATAGTTTGCCATATATATTATTCCTTATTTGTATATAAAATACACTGTAAAAGATGTAAAATATAAAATATTCATACCTTGAGCACTAAATGGCTCAACATTAAGGCGATTGCAAACATCTATCATACTTTCATGCATCCGCAATAAACTTGCATCTGATGAATCTCGAGGACTTAACTAAAAGCAAAACATTTTCCAGTACCAATAATAAAAATTACAAAACACACACATACATAAATATATATATGTATGTATGTGTAATAAAGATAATGCGCTTTACACAATAAAAATTAATATTTTGCAACATACGATTGCCTGACTATCTGAATTGCTTGAAACCTATAAGAAATTAAAATAACATTAAAAGATACAAATTTATTATGCACAAAATATTTAAGTAGATAATTTTATAAATTTACAGTTGCCTGTATATACGCAGGTGGTTGTAAACTAGGCACCTTTAAAAAACAATGAAACACAAAATAGAAAAATCTCTTATTTTGATAAACAGCAAATTTTACTTTAAAGAATGTCTACTAGAATAAAGCACAACTTATACTACACATAGGATACTACTATATTACTTATTGGACAATATTAAATATATCTACTTTACCTGTAAGTTTTAAACAAGAAGAAAAAAAAGATAACATACATTTAGTTGAAAACTTGAATTAGTTGAAGAGAACTGAAACAAAAAAATAATTTCAAATTAAATAAAGCTGTGTAAGCTGTAGGAATCATCCGAAAAATTATAGCAGAACTATGTTAATAAAACTACATTACATACATTCGGTGATGCTTGAATATTGTTTTCATTTGAACTCTAAAAATGTAGAAAATTGCAACAATTGCTAAAAAAATAACTTAAATTAAACATATAACATAATCAATAATTACCGTTTGTTTAAAATGAAAATTAAAAGGTTTCAGTGGTGGCAGAGGCTTTAGGGCAACTGATTTACAGACACTTTCCTGGTTATGTGTGGCCTAAATTAACAATATATTTTATGAATAAATTAGGAAAAAAATCTGTCTTAACTATTGCATTAAATAAAACTTTACCACTGACTCAGAACAAAAATCTGTATCCAAATTTGAATCTTCAGAGGCTGTGTGAAGAGGCTAAACAAAAACAAAAATTAAAATAAATTCTTTAAAAATTAAAAGAAATTAAAATAAAATAACTAATCCTAACAAGATAAAAACAAGGTTTGTATTTAATATTTACATAAACAGGAGGCAGTCGTTGTCTGTTTAAACCACGGACAGGGTTGAAATATGTTTGAATGAAATTTATTGTTTGTTTTTTTCGTTTCATTTCAGAAACAAACTTTAAAGTTTCCTTGAGGGCATCATAATTTGCCCCACACTGCAAAACTAAAACCTAATCAAACATATTATATTATATATTAAGCATGTATTCTTATTATTATTAAACAATATTAGCAAACTACGATTCATATTTACCTTTATCATACTATCATCATTTTTAACCCTTAATTCAACTCTTCTACAAATTTTGAGTTTTTCAAATTCATCTGAATTCCATCCAACAACATCGTCAACATGAACAATTGCTATTGATTTATCAGTTAAACAATAAATTAGGACATATTTTTGACTGGTGTACTCCATCAAATATGATATGTTAATTCAGTGTTAGAATCTGTCTCTATATTTTTTTGAATATAAGTAAATTAAAAATCTTATTGCAATATAAGTATTTAAACAAATAAGTAAAAATATTTTTTATTCAAATATTATACACAAATGCTAAAACATTTTTATCATTATTAATGTTAAAACATTTTTTTCATTCATTTAAACTGATTTTAATAGTAAAAAATTAATTAAAAATAATAAAAAAAGAAAAAAATCAAATCATTTTATTTTATGTATGTTGTATTTCATATATGTAACCAATGTAAAAAAAATTTACAATAACATAAAAACAAAAGAATTAATACTAAAATAAAAATAAAATGATGGACTCATTACACAATCATTGAGTGTCAACTCTTGAAAACATTCACAAATGGTATAACAGTGTACTCGTTGCCATCAGGAAAAGAAATACATTTATTAATGATCTTTGCATCAGTTACAACGATATTAGACATAATATATCTACCTATACCAATTGAACTAGATGGATAGGGATGATCATACAAATCTGATTTAAATATTAACAAGGATCCAGAAGCAACATAAGTGTCACTAACAGAAGTTATAATAATTGGAACGATATTTGAATTATAAACAACGAGAGCAGTATTATTAGGATATTTATTGGAGAAAACTAAATCTTTTTGTGGTTGATTGGAATATAAACTTCTAATAGTTAAAACAGAGTTAATAGACTGTTCAAACACATAAGTTCCAGTTTTTACACGTTGCTTTATTAGATACAAATAATTTTCAAAAGGAAAAGCAGAAAACTTATCTAATGGTCCTAGTTCTTGCACAAATTCTGGTAGATGTGAAAGCATATGTGCATTGAAGGTATAAGCACTTTCAGTAAAAAGTTCTTTCAAATTATGGAGAAAATGTTGTATGCAAGAAGTAGCATTGTCAAAATAGTGTGTGTGTGATGTTCCAATAAACACATACATAGCGAAATGCAGATACAAAAAATGATTATAGTATTTTAAAGGAATGATACCTTTAAAAAGAAGAGGACCTGTATAAAGTAAAATTATTCGAAACTCGGTAGCTTTAAAATAATGCATGTTACGAAAAGATCTTATTTTCCGATGAAATTCACATGGTAAAGCGCTATGCCACAATTTAACTCTTTCTTCTAAGAGTTCTTTCAGATTTTCACTTACCCGACAGTTTAATCTGCCATATTTATTTGAAAAATATGAGACTACAAGTCTTCTCATAACACCTAGACAAACTGTATGCATATATTCAGGTGGAAAATCACAATTTAAATTTGCAACTTCTGTAAGCGGAGATAAAAATAATTGGTTTGATTCAGATAACGATTTGTAATCACAGTCAGTACGAGAAGGATATATACCACCATATGGAAAAATGACTTTATTAGTAGCATACACACCTGGAATTCTGCAGTATGGACAAGCATTATATCCAGAGTGACCTTTTACACATTGACAATAAGATCTTGCTGGCGCATCGCATATAAATAAAACATTAGTTATTTTAATAAAAAAGCCAGATACATTAACATAAGATTTAAAAAGAACTAACTCTTCATGCAATTTCTCAATAAACCCAGAAAAATTAGGCTTGCTTAACCCAGCATAAACAGCAATGGGAAAAGGTTTATTAAAACCTACATTTCTCATAATGAATAATATTGGCCAGATATGTACAGGTGAGCTTTTGAATATTGGTATACCATCAATTCCAACTTTAATTTTAAGATTTACATATTGCGTCTTGAATGTTACTAGACTATTTTTAATGCAGTAAGATAAATTTTCAAAATTTGACAAGTAACCAAAGTTTCCACCGCAGCTTAGAGAATTCTTTAGGACCTGGACCTTCGTAGCCACTTGAGGTTTTTTGAAAAGATATACAGAAATAGGAACATCAACACCTTCCTCATTTAAAATCGTAAGCAAACAGAGTATTGCACTTTTGCTGAGTTTATACAGTAAACAGAAGTATAACAACTTTGTATGAAGGGATGAGAAATCGCCCTTGGATTTCTTGTTACTTTCATCGTTGTCTTCCAATGGCACTTCGCCTGAAAAAATATATTGAATTATGAATTTAGGCTCATTCTAATGACTAATTAAACTTGATAGAAACACTAATTTTAATTATAAAAACATAAATTTAATTGTATGTGTGTGTTTAGTTGGTCATTTTTAAATAAGGACAAACTTAAACAAAGTTTGCATAATTTGTGAGAACGCTACATTGTCACAAATTATGCAAACTAAAATAACTTTATACAAAGTTTACAAAATGTTACCCTAACTGAGTTACACAGAAGTAATATACTCTCAGTAAGAGTAACATTTTGTAAACTTTGAATAAAAAATGCTTTCAATTTGATAAATTTATAATAATAAATAAAATATTTATCTACTTTCATAGCTTGTATCCTCAACTAAATCAAATTTTCCCATCACATCATCAAAAAAAGTAGAAGCACTTTCATCAAAGTAATCTTCGTTAATTGTTAATTTTTGCTCTTCTGCGTCTGCTTCAAACTGTGTCGAATAGTTGACAGTTTCATCTATAACAATTATTTTTAAAAAAATATGTATTAAATCGAAAAAATTATAAACTTAATATTTTAAAATTTAACATAGAATATATGTGGCAGACAAATAGTACACAAGAATAACAGTCTGCAAATAGTATGAGATTGAAAAAACAATATACTATAAATATTTAAAAAAATTTTCTTTACATAGATTATCAAGATGAAACATTATAATGTTTATAGTAATAATCTATAGATTCCTATATATATAAATATTATATATATATATATATATATATATATATATATATATATATTATATTTATATATATAGCCTATATATTAGATCTATCTATCTATCTATATTAGATACTATCTATCTATCTATCTATATTATCTATCTATATCTATCTATCTATATTAGATACCTAATATATAATAATATATATATATATATATATATATATATATATATATATATATATATATATATATATATATATATATATATATATATATATATATATATATATTATATTATATTACCTTTTAATCTCGATATGAAAGTTTCCATTTTATTACTACGTTTCCTTCTTTCATTTCTCGAAGCCATTTTTTTTTAAGAACTGTAAGTATAAAATATTTTGTCGTTATTATAATTTAAGACAATCATTAGGATTGTTTTAACTAAATAATGAAACTAATAATAATGAAATTTTAATCATATTATACAGCGAATTATGACAATAAACTTAAGTTTACAAACTTAATTCTAAATGACCAAATTTAATTCCGAACTACTTTAACCACGCTTTAAGAATAGCAGATTTATAAAATCATTCCGTTAACTCTTTTTATTTCAGAATTTCCAGAAAATTCTATTTGACTTAGGGCTAGCCCTGAATTTGCCCTAACCGATCCCTTACTAGAATTAGCCCTAAACACACCCTAATGTTCAAGAATTAATAACTATATACTATAATAAAGTAAACAAGAGTATTTTTGCATTATTATTTATTATTTTTTTTTTTATGTCTAAAAAACTTAGCCCTTAAGTTACCCTTAACCGTTAAGGGACCCTTAAGGGTCCCTTAAGCTATTTTCAGGCGGGTTGTGTCTCACAAAAACAAATGTATATATATATATATATATATATATATATATATATATATATATATGTATATATATATATATATATATATATATATATATATGTATATATATATATATATATATATATATATATATATATATATATATATATATATATATATATATATATATACAGTGGCGGAACTACTGGACGCAGGACCCTGCGTTGCGGGGGAGCCTACCAGCTATAGGGGGCCCTCATATAAAAAAAGTTATACTCTCAATAATATTTATACTATAAAACTCTTTTCCGCAAAAAAAACATTCTTTTGCGGGGGGGCCCAAATTTTGAAGTTCCGCCACTGTATATATATATATATATATATATATATATATATATATATATATATATATATATATATATATATATATATATATATATATATATATATATATATATATATATATATATATATATATATATATATATATATATATATATATATATATATATATATATATATATATATATATATATATATATATATATATATATATATATATATATATATATATATATATATAATATTACAAACGTGTGGCTATATACATATGTGTATGTGTGTATGTGTATATATATATACATTACCAACTGGTTTTAATATAAAAATGCTTAAAATACATAAATAGCATGTGGGTTTTGTTTGGTATTTTTGTAATAAGCGGCTTGTAGTTTGCTTTATTAAAGCAGACGTCATTATGTAGGTTTATGACGATTAGAACTTAGGATAAAAATATTTCACAGTTTGAGATTTGCAATTTATATATATATATATATATATATATATATATATATATATATATATATATATATATATATATATATATATATATATATATATAATATTACAAACGTGTGGCTATATATATATGTGTATGTGTGTATGTGTATATATATATACATTACCAACTGGTTTTAATATAAAAATGCTTAAAATACATAAATAGCATGTGGGTTTTGTTTGGTATTTTTGTAATAAGCGGCTTGTAGTTTGCTTTATTAAAGCAGACGTCATTATGTAGGTTTATGGCGATTAGAACTTAGGATAAAAATATTTCACAGTTTGAGATTTGCAATTTTTTTATGCGTTTTTGTGAGACACAAGTAAATCTTCAGAAATATTTGGAAACCAATAAAAAAAATTTTTTAATTATTGGTTAAATAACTTAATTAATCGAGATAAAAAAAACTCTCAAATAGTTTTTCCAATTAAAAGTTTAAAAAAAGTTTGGATTTTTGATTAACCTTTAAAAATAATTAAATAAACATGCTTTTTTAGTAAATATTAAAAAAATAAAAAGAAATTAAACAAAAAAAACGTTTAACTCTCCTCACTTTTGACTAGAATCTGATATTGTCAAAGTTTTTGATTAAACAACGAATAATTTGTTATTAAAACAATAGAGTAATCATTTCAGAATCTTTTAATTAAAAACGTTCAGAAACTTTTAATTACAAACGTTTTGAATTTTTTAATTAAAAACACGGAAAATATTTGAAAGAAATCGAGCTTTTGAATGAACGAATAACTTTGTTAAATCAAATCTTTAAATCGAAAAAATCGAATTGATTTAAATCATTTTGATTTAAATCTTTTCAATCAAATCTTATGATTCAATCTTTAGGATCTTTAGGATCAAATGAAGATCTTAACTTCGTCAAGCCAAATCTTTACTTTGCACCTAAAAAAAAAGTAAAATTCAAAATCAAAGCATCACTACATAAATATTAGTACTGTCAGAACTGTAAATTTTATAAATTTTTGTTCATCCACTGATGTTGATATTAATAACTTAGTTTTATTTTGAAAAAAATATAAACTTTTCAATGTGTAAATAATTTTTAAAATGTGCATAGAGTTTATTATTATGACATTTTCAGATTAAAGTATGTAAGTTAAACTTTTATATTTAAATATAAAAGTTAAAAATTGAAGTAAACTACGGTAAGAATTGTTTTGAAGTATTTTTAATTTACAGAAAATCATTCAGACTTTTATTTAATTGTTTTTTTTTTCTAAATTAAATGTAAAACACTCTTTATAAAGTTAAATGTAAAATACTGGCTTCTTTTTTTTAATATTTATCCATAAAAAACAAAAAAAAAAAGAAAATCTTTTTTATAAATATTTTTCCAGCAAACACAAAGTCTAAAAAACGACTTTTTGATTACTTTGAGACGTAAATTTTGTCTAAAAAACCTCTTTTAGACATCGCGAGTTTTTAATTGAAAACAACCTTTATAAATCCATGTTAACCAGGGATGGATCCAACATTTTTGGTGTTTGAGATAATTTTCAAACATGGAGCAAAGTCCAAATACTTATATAATTTATACTTATATCCAAAAGGATGCTTTTTAAAAAACTGCAATAAATAGACCCCGGTCACCAAAATTTGTAATCTACTCAATTTGGTGGGGGTTACAAATTTTATATGGAAATAATTTTTAAACGCTAAGAGATTATTCCAATCAAAATTTAAAGCTTATTTAAATTTCACGGCGGAGGGGGGGGAGCAAAAATTTAAAGGCTATTTTGTTGTCCGACTCCAATCATCGCAAAACATTCTTATTTGACATAAGTAGAAACATATGAATCTTTTGAGTTTGCCAAATGTCTAGGAGTTATGCTAAATCCACCCGTGATCTAACCTCGTATTTTTTATTTTGTTTTGTATTTTGTTTTTAAATTTACCTAAAACCTATATATATATATATATATATATATATATATATATATATATATATATATATATATATATATATATATATATATATATATATATATATATATATTGCACCCTCTCAAACTGAGGGAGTTATAAAAAAACCAAAATTTTTGAACGCTTAGAGATAATTGTATGAAATTGAAAATTTGTTGATGAATATAAATTAAGTTGAGGAAATTTAAAAAATACTTTATCAACTTGTTGCTCTCACGTTGGGGGCTATTGGCTTTTAAGGCTTTTTTGTTCACAGGCTCTAATCATCCCAAGTTTTTGTAAACCATCCTTATTTGACATAAGTATAAACATATAAATGTTTGGAGTTTGCTCTATGTTTAAAAGATAACTCAAACAGTTTTAACAATTTTATTTTATTTATTTAGTTTAAATTAATTATTTGCCGTATAATATTATTTACAACAAGACTTATAATATTATACGGATCGAACTTTAAGAAGATTGTAATGACCTTATCACGAAACCCTTAAATATATAAAACTCTATTTTTTTCTACAATAAAAACATCTATATACCTTATAAAATAAATATATACCGAAATTATATAACCACTAAATATATCATAAATTTAAAACTGTACATACTTCAGAAGAGAAACTCAAAATAAAATATAACAAATCAATATGCAGTATAGCAACTAAAAATCTTGATTTTTTTTAAAATCAAAAAAATCAAGAACATTTTTTGTTGAAAAAATAATAATTTTTTTTTATAGAGTGTTTGAAAAAGGAATAGGTCAATTCAGCGTACTATTTCATTAAGAGAAAAAGTCCACGATAAGATATACAAAATTGAGCTTATTTATTTTTGCAAATAGGTTTTTCTAGAATAGCTTTCTAGGTTTATAGGTCTTTTTTGTAGGTTATTTTTTTTTGGGGGTTTAATTTTGTGAAGGTTTACAAAAAAATTGAGGGACATAAGTTCTTTACATTTCTACATACAACACAAAGCATAAAATACATTTAGTTGATAAACATTTAAGGCGTCCATTTCTTTAAAAAGTTTGATAAATGATTTTTAAAATTTATTATGCCAGTTGCATGTTTCTGATACCAATAAAGAGATTTTAATTTAATTTTATGTTTACTTTCCCATATAATATTTGGATAATTTATACGACAATGAATAAAATAGTAGTATAATGTGTTATTTGGTTTTTGTTTAAAATACCTCTAGATTTGTATAGAATTCCAATGCTTTTTGCAACTTTATTAGAAATATTATTGACGTGGGATCTCCAAGACAGATTTACTTCAATAAAAACTCCTAAAAATTTATATCAAACAACTTTATCAAAGAATTGCTAGACAAACAGCTAATGTAGCTTATTGAATAGAAAACATTTTATAGAACTGTAAATACGTTGCCATTAAATTTTGTAAAGTTGCTGACATTTTCGATAACCGACAGTAACATATAGTAAAAAAAATGTTCACGAAACTTGTAAAATCGACAGCATTTTTTGAAAAAACTGGTAAATAATTACTTTAAATAAAAAACCATATAGTTGATAATTACCATTTAGTTAAAGATAAAAATAACTTTTCTTCATAACAGGAAATTCTCAAAATGGCTGCTTAGTTCGATTATAAAAACATAAAAGCGCAGTTTAAAAACAGAATAGTTTAAAATATAAATTTAATATAAGACTTTTAACAATATATACCCGAAATACCCAATAATGCGACACTCCAAGAGCAGTTTAAGTTGAAATAGACAAACAGATATAAGTCAAAATGCGTAAGTGCTAGCAACTGGAATCATTTAGTTTTACCGTAACCTTGCTGCCACATAAAATTATTCTTAGACTTATTATTAATTTGAAAATTGAGTACTCAATTGCAGTCAAGTTTATACGCTATTTGCGTAGTTTTCTTTTTATCCATACGTAATGTACTTTATAAAGTATCATATTTCACATTAGCAATTTTAGTTATTTGTTCAAGCTTAATAAAGTTTTGGCCATACAGGTAGACATGTTGATATAAATTTTACGGTAAAGTTAATTTATATATATTTTTTTAGTTTGTTAACATACTTTAGAAAAATTATTGACCTTAAATTTTAAGTCATTTTAGTTATTGAGATTCGCAATAGTTTTTCCCCAAATGATATTGAAGGAAGAGTTGCAATCAAAATATCCAATTTTATATCTATGTAAAACATTTTAGTTTGAAATAAAATGTAAAGTATATAATCAAAAATATTATTTAAAATTAATCATATATTTAGTTAAGCGACAAAGTTTAAATCTAGGTTGGATTTCAAACCACAACCTATTGCTTGCTTTCAATTCAATGAATAATTTTATTGGGTTATTAAAGTGTGTGTGTGTGTGTGCGTGTGTGTGTGTGTATGTGTGTTTGTGTGTTTGTGATTTGATAAAAACCTTCTTCTAGATTTTTTTCTTTAATGTTTCCTATAATAGTTTATCCAAAAATTTACAAGATGTATTTTTGCAACAAATTTTAAAACATTTTTAAAATTTAAAATATTAAATATTCATTTTTGAAATAAAATTTTAAAACTTTTGAAATATGTTTTTTATGAAGTTTAAAAATAATTAACTGTGTGTATATATATATATATATAAAAAAACAAACACTTTATTGCTTTTTATATGATCAAAAAATTATAAATATATTTATTTATATATATATATATATATATATATATATATATATATATATATATATATATATATATATATATATATATATATATATATATATATATATATATATATTATATATATATATATATATATATATATATATATATATATATATATATATATATATATAAATAAATATATTTATAATTTTTTGATCATATAAAAAGCAATAAAGTGTTTGTTTTTTTGCAGTGGTAATTTATATATTATTGACAAACTTTTGATACATGAATAGTTTAACAAGGGTTTTTCAAAAGATTGGCGTGCTTACACAAGCCTTGAAATGTTGACTTAATTATTTGTACGTTAAATTAAATATTGGTCTGTTAAATTAAATATCGTTTTAAATTGTTAACGTCAGTCTATTTTCTTAACATTTTGTTTTATTTATCTAAACGTTTTACAATATTGCAAAATCAATGACTTTAGCAAATGAAGTGTTTGAGTATGTAAATATTATAAATTATAAACAAAACATCTAATTCACTGAAATAATTTTCGTATCAAAATTTTCTTTTTTATTTAAACCTTTAATTTTATACATTTCATTTTGAAATTTTAAAGTAGTAAATTATAATATAAAATAATTTAACTGCAAAGACATTTTTTGTGAATTGCAGTTTTGATTATTATTGTTTGAAACTTTTTTTATAACTTTGTCTTTTTTTTTAATAAAAAAAAGAAGTTATATAAATAGTATTAGTATATTTAAAAAATGTATATAACAATATGTCTTGTTTGCTTGACACAGTTGAGGTGTACCTAAAGATCAAAAACTTTAGCCCGATTTAAATAATTTTAAAAAAATCTGATGACTTGTAACATTCGCGAAAATTTCAACCTTTCTGATTTTAAAAACAGTTTCATAAAAATATGTAAGCAAGATGGAGTTTTAAGGATTACTTTGCAGTTAAAAATTTTATAAGTGTTTTTGACGTTTAAACTAATCTTAATACGATATCTAAACAATAAACTTTAAAACATTTTAAGCCGTTTTATAGGTCTTACGTATGCAAAAATGTTAATTACTACTTAATATAACATTTAATTAACAGTGGTATTATAAAAATACAAAAAAAAGTACATAATGGGAGATTTAAACGTATATTGTCTAACGTATAACAATGAGAATAAAAAAGTGATTATAATTTTTGTTAAAAATGTTTTTGGCGAAATATTTTCAATAGCGACTGTCATAAAGCTATTAGAAAAACACAAGGACTTTCAGACCATTACTGTAACTGCGTAGGCTTGACATAGCTAACTTAGTAAAGGATAGCGGTATCATTTACAAAATTTTTTCAAACAACTTGAATATTGTAATCTAGTTTTGTTTACGCTACTATTGTTGGTAATTAACATAAACCTTGTGTATATGTAAATTATAAACGAACTTGTCCATAAACCTAGCCAACTAAAAATCGAAAAAAATATTTTATATTTCACGAACACCCTCATTAAAAAAGAATTTAATTTCTTTTTTTGTAAAATAATAGAAGAAAACATAAACTAGCAAAGTTATTTAACTTTAACGCGATATCAAATTTAAATTAAACTATCATTAAACTTAAAATGTATTATTAATGTTAATATTATAAGGGCTGACGACACGGGTTTTAAAATGGATAAGGGGGGGGGGGAAGAACAATAACATAAGTTAAATACTGTTTTCTTGTTTTACCAAAAAAAATCAGTCCAACGACAGTAGATGTTAGACTATAACAGTCATTTTTCATTAGAGCGTTTTAGTTTGTTTTTAAAATCATTTACAGAAATTGCATTAATAACATCTTGATGTCGAATATTCCAAGCTTCTACAACACGGTTGGTGAAGAAATTATGCCTAGAAAGTGAGTTTCTTACATATTGTCTTCTTAATTTCTAATCATGCCCTCTCGTATTATTGGTTATTCTTTGAGGTTCGTTATGCCAGTTTATTTTATTTATATTGTTTTGAAATCTAAATATCCGAATTAGATCACCTCGCAACCTTCTACCAACCAATTTTAAAAGTTCCATATTTCGAAACCGTTGTTGATAGTTAATAACTTTTTGAAATGATGCCATCTTTTTGAAAATGCCTTGACATACTTAATTAAAAAAGTACTTTATTACAAAGTGCACCTTGATATTAACTTGGTGTTTTCAATAAGCAAAGGGCAGTTATAACAAGGAGGTTTAATACACCTCACTATAACAAGAAGGTTTAATACGTATATTAAACCTCCTTCGGCAGTAAGTTGTTACTTTCATAATAGCTTTTACTTTTTTTTAAAGTTTTATAACTTAAGAAAATAAAACAATAGTAAAGTTTTAATAACTTTGATTTAGCAAATCTTTTACGTTGTAATTTTTAATAACTTTAAATATTATTAACGTTAAAGATTTGTACTTCTTTGTTTATAAAACAAATCTTATGAATGTTTAATTGTGGTTATCATTAAATTTTAATTCTTTAAAAAGTTGAGATCCATGTTTCTGCAATTTTTTAAATGCAAAATTGTTAATTCAAGATCAAAATTTTGACAGTATAATGCGTCTTTACATTATACTGTAAAAGTTTTTAAAAGTTTATTTTTTACTAATAATCAGCATGAAAATGATTTGATTGTTCAGGAATGCAAAACCCGCCTTTATCGGAAACGAAGTAAGTAAACGGAAGCAAAGAAGTATTGGATTGTATAAATTCTAAAACGAAATTATAGTAATTAACTCTCTGTTATAAATTTAAATATATTGTTATCAAACCTATTAAAACTTTATTTAAACTACGTACAGTGGGCTAACAGCGGACTAACAGGTGCAAGTTAATTTTAAAAAACCTCAGGATCAATTTGCAATCCAGAGAATGATGTTTGTAACAGAAAAGAAATCATCTTAATCAAACAAAATTGGTGGAAACAATCGTTCAAAGTATTTTAGGCGTCAAATAACTGGAACATTTTGGACTGCCAAAAGTAAAATTTTGTTTTCAAAAGCCACCTTTGTTATATTACCATTTAAAACTAATTTATGTGATTTAAGTTACTTGCAAAAAATGGTGCAGTAGCTCGTTTGAAAGAGAATATTTCTTTTTATTTAACAATACTAAAGGAATTTTTGAAACTAAAGGTTATATTATACTTATTAATAAAACAAAAATTAATAATGAATTTTGGATAATTAAAAAGAAATTTTATTTACAAAATTTACTCTCACAACTTATCAATACCCTAAAGTGCTAACGACATTGATATGTATGCAAAAATTTGATTTAAAAAAGCTAGGTTTAAGCTACATAAAGGTATGTAATATAGCTGTTTTAGTCTCGTCTAACCAAGTTCTGGCCTTATTAAGTCGGACGTTGTTTTGGCAAAACTCAGACAGGTTGATATTTTACCACGTTTTTTAGTACCGCCTCAAAAAAAATCCTAATACTTTTTCATATAAAAACGGGAGAAAATTGTCTTATCAAATGTTCCATCCCGACTCCTGTTCAAACAACCTCTCGTTGTAAGTTGAGTAATTTTATTCAGAATAATGTTTTCATCTTGAATAAAGTAAAAATTATCATTACTTTCGAAACTTATTATATCTTAAATGAGAACTCTTGCAATGTTACCAAAATTGATAAAGCACTCTTATTTAGCCAGAATTATAGTCAACTCAGATATCAGAACATGGTATTAAACATTCTTATATTTTTATTCACTAGCAATTCCTTTAACAGGTAGCTATACAAAATAGATATTTACGATCTTTTGTGAATTTAAGTGGTTTTAATAAAAATTTTAATTAGAGATAATTAAAACTTTGTTTCTGATTAAAAACAATAAATTAATTTCCAAAGTCAAAATGAACATTTTAGCATCGTCGTTTTCGTTCCTTGGGGATCATTTTAAGAACTATAGTTATTTTTAATGTATGCAAATAATAACATTTAAAATCGATAATAACATTTAAAATCGAGCTGACGGCTAATAGCTGTCTCGAACAGCAATGCCGGTAGAATTATTTGATGTTTTAGATATGAAATTTTCATGCATTGTGCAAACTTCAAACTTAAGTATGTTTATGCTAATCTCAAATGAGAATGTTTAACAAAAAAACTTAATTTAATAAAAAATGCCTTGAAACAAAAAGTCTGAAACATCAAACTTTTTTGACGCATATCTTAAATGTCTTTGAATTTTCGAAATCTAATTATTTTTTATTATACAACACATTATAGCAAATAATACATATAGTTTCAACTTTAAGAAAAGCAATACTAAAAACATACTATTTTTTGGAGCTCAAAAAAAATCAATACCAACATGAATAAATCATATTGACCTCGTTTAACCGAATGTATCTTGTGTAATTTATAGGTAAATTATATACACCGGATTTTTTTCATGACAACTTTTAAAAAACGAGATTTATAGTCTAATCTATAGCTAGCTTTTGAATGCTAATATAAAATGGACTAACACAAACAAAAAATTTATAAAACTACAAAGATTACAAAATGCTTGAAAATCAATCAATTATTTAAGTAGATTAATTAATCCCGCAACTGTAATAAAAATTTTGAAGACCTCAAAATAATGAACTGCTTGAAAAACTTAATTCATTCCAGAATTTTATATTAACGTTCAAGCTTAAAAATAACATATTTTCAAATGTTTTGCTTAAATGTTTTTTTGTTGTTAGTCTCTTCAATTTTTTTATAATCGAGCTATATTTTATAAATCGAAATAAATACTTTTCAAAATTGAATAATGTTTATATCAGTGTCAAATCCAAGGTGAGTTTTTATGTCTTAAAGACAAAACAACAACAAAAATATGTGTAAATGATTTGAATGCAGTTGACTTTTAAATTGGAAACAAAAATGCTATTTCTACATACCTGAATTAAATCAGTTTTTTAAGTCAAAAAAATTATAAACAATAAACAAATCATATTTTATTAAAATGATTTTATAATATTTGAGAATAAAATTTAGAGTTTTTCTAAAAAAGTTCCAAAAAAAAAGTTAAATTTTGGAACCAAAATACGAAATCTTATTTGGTTTTTATTGGTATATTATATATATATATATATATATATATATATATATATATATATATATATATATATATATATATATATATATATATATATATATATATATATATATATATATATAAGAAGCCCCCGGCAGAAGGCTTTTTGACATTAGGTGAGTATGACATCATCATGCTCACCTAACTCAGCAGTATAAGATATATATATATATATATATATATATATATATATATATATATATATATATATATATAAATATATATATATATGTATATATGTATATATATATATATATATATATATATATATATATATATATATATATATATATATATATATATATATATATATATATATATATATATATATATATATATATATATATATATATATACCAATACGTATATACAAATGAGAAATCTATTTATTATTAAGGTAAACAAAACGAAATCTATAATTCAACCCTCAACTTGTTTATTCCGTGTTTCTACTCTCAACTTCTTTTTTACGTTTATTACGTATAATTAAGATAGTGGAAAGATGATTGTCAAATAAATTAAAGAAAATTATATATTTCCTATATGCTGGAAAAGGTTATGATATATTAAATTATGTTAAAATACTTCTTTTAGGGTAAAATAAAATATTGACGGCTACTAAACCATAAAATTTATCATGATATTTAAGAAAGTATTATGGTTTTATATTTATATACAAAGTATTTGTGCTACGGTGCCAGCTTGGGAACTTATTGAAAAAGCGAACACTAACGCTGTTATTACCAACGACTCTAATAACTCAGGTAAAGTTTGTTAATATTATATCTACTAAGAATTAGCTAACCTAAAAAAAAATAATAATAACAAAAGTAACAAAAAAACTAAGGTTTCTTATTTTAAATTCAATTTTTAAAGTAATATCTATTAAAAATGCATGTTTAATCAAGGAATTTGAAGTGGTTTTAAAATTTTAATATAATCTGGGCTACAGCTACGTTATCATAAATTCTAAACAAGTGGGAAATTAAAAAAAAGTTGCTTTTAATTATTATTTATCATAATCGCATGAAATTAGTGCTAAACACTAGCGCTATAACTTAATTTAAGTAAGTTAAATATTAAAAAAAAGTGGCGGATTACGCTTTTACTAAAGAAAAAACACGAGCGTTTAGGAAGCATATTTATAACAGATTATGTTTTAATATGTTTTTCCAAAGAGGAGGTTGTGATACTTTAATTTTAATATATATACTTATTTTTAATATGAAACAACTAATATAATTATAGGTCAAATTTCCTTTTTTAACGAAGATACTGTAATATTTGAGGCGTAGCCATGATTTAATCCCGTAATCCAGTAAATGATAACAAAAGGTAAGAAAAGAAAAAACGCATTTGACATAATTCTTAAAAAAAATAATACTATTAATAAAATAATAAAATGAAAATAAAAATGTAAAACAAAAGTTAAAACATTAAAATTTTATAAGAAAAAATTTCAAGTAAGCTTTTGTCAAAAATGTAAAAAATTTATAATTGTAACTTTATTGATTTTATCTATTGTCATAAACAGATTTTTCTTAAATGGCCTTTTTTGACGTTACTAATACAATAATGCCTGTCTCAACCAAAATCCTTAATCGACAAATGTATATAGGAAACGTCGAAAAACAACAATTTTTAAAAATTGGCTTGGCTAAAACTCTATATGTATTTTATATAATAAAACGACATTGGATAAAATTTTTTTTTTCAAATAAAGAATAATTTTAAGACCCTTCAAGACGCTTGAACATTTTTAGGATCCCTAATGTACATATTTAAAAAGTTCTTTAAAGTTGGTTAACCTGGTACTTAAAACGAAACAATATCTAAAAACTCCTAAAATACTAATTGTTTTAAATAAAAAAAAGTTATATTAATAATATAACTTTATAGACTTTATTTCAAAAAAACAATTACTTAAAACTAAAAATTAAAAAAGGGCATTTCTCCAAGCTTTTTGTCTCATAAGACTATCAAGCAAACTATCTTTAACATTCGGCATTTCCGTAATTTATAAACTTTTTATTTTATACATTCTTTAACGTAAGTAAGAAACGAGAAAAAATTAAATAGTAAAAAAGTGTAAAAAAAAAATTATTTTATACAACAATCTTGAACTTTGAAGCCCAAATTTAAAAATTACTAATTAAAAATAAAATTGATGTTTATAATTTTCCAAAAAATCCGCCCTTACCTCTTTGGAATGATCTTTTGAGGAATTTAAACAATTTTAATTTTTTTCTAATGTTTCAGTCCAATAAACAAGTTTGTCACAATGATATAAATTTTAATTTTGTCATTGGCTCATTTAAATCATTGAAAGAATCTTGTAATGATTTATATGAGCCAATTGCTTAAAACTACTGTTTAACCCAGGGGCACGCGTCGTTCGGAGGACGTCTGCTGGGCGTCTCATAACGTCCAGACGTCCGTAAAACGTCCGACGGACGTCCCCTGGGAAAGTGTCAAACTCAACACGCAATACTCCAAATTATTTGCAAATTATTTGTTGAATTTTCAAATTAAATATTATGAAATTAAATAAAATGTTTTGATGTTAGTTAAAAGTTATTTAAATAACCGAAAATAGTTTGTTTACAGTAATGAAAATAATCCTGTCAATTTATTAAACATAACTTGTGGAATAATCCTGGGCTCTAATTCGGACCTTTTCTCTTTCTCATTTACATTAATGATCTTTATAAAGCTTCAAATTTAATGTCAGCCATGTTTGCTGATGATAGTAACTATTTTTTACCGTATCTTTTTTTATTTTTGACCGTTTTGGACCCCTTTCCCTCCCCCATCATCGTAACTCTTTTATAACAAGTTCTGTATGATTTGTCACAAAACCACTAACCCCCCCTCCTTTTCTCCAAAAGCGTAACGTTTTTTATGGATAACCCCATATCAAAATTTTCAATTGGTTTAAAGCTTTTAATAATTGTTGAAAAAACAAAATGATCACACTTTTAACCAACTTCTAAAACAACTATTTCTTGATTTAAATTTACTTTTTATAGATAAAATTCAAATAAAAAGAGTAACTAGTACAAACGTTTTGAGTACTTAAATTGATAAAAATCTTAGTTGGAAACACCATATTGAATTCTTGTGTAATAAAGTTGCTAAAAGTATAGGAATATTTTATAAAGCTAGAAGTGATTTAAAGAAACATAGTTCAACTCAGTTTTATTTTTCATTTATTTGTCAATTAAACTATGCAAATATTGCTTGGTGTAATTCCAACAGATGTAAACTAAAGCTCATATATCGTAAACAGAAGCATATAGCTCGTTTTATCAATTTTAAAGACAAATTTACTCATGCCAAGTCTCTTTTATTAAAAATAAAAATTCTTAATATATCAGCTCAATGCTTTTAATTTACTTTGTTTTATGTGCAAATGTAAAACTAACTCCTTCCCAGTTTCTTTCCACAATTTATAAAGATTAAATGATAAATACAATTTAAGAAACGATAGTATGATTTGGCAATCATATTTTAAAGAAGTTATGGAAAATAAAGCTTTTCATTTCGCGGAGCTTCTCTTTGGAATAAAATAGTTTTAAAATATTTGGAGATTTCTCTTGAATGGAGTTATCTCTTTTTTAAGAAATAACTTAAGAAATCATTTCTTCTCTGGATGATAAACTTTTATATATTTAAACGTTTAATAATTTTCAATATTTTTTATGGAGGCCAATTTTATGATTTTATAGAATCAGACTCTAATAAAGTAGGGAAGGGGGCAATTTTCAGGTCTGAATCATAAAACGTTTTTACTTTTTTTTAAATATTATTCTTACACTATTTTAATCTATGAAATTACGTTATGCTGATATCCTAACAGTCTGATTATTTTTGCACTTCACAAATTTATTATAATTTTGTATCACTTTTACATAGCCTCCCTTATTTATTTCCATTTGCTTTTTGTATGACTCTTTGTATGATAACATTTCTTTGTATGATTATATTTAGTATGATAATATTTTACATAAATATATAAATTTACAAAAAAATAATTTTTCTGAAATATGTGAGGGCGATCACGTTGCTCCTTATGTGGTCCTTAGTGGTAGAGTTCTATCATTAAATCACTCTACCACTACGCCACTACCGCTTTTTTTTTAAATTGAACAATAAAAAATTGTTGTTTAAAAAAAAAAAAAAAAGTAGTACAGTGGTGTAGTGATAGAGCTCTACCAAAATTAAAACATTAAAAACGTAAAAGTAAGTTTTTATGACAGTTTTTTATTAAAATACATGCTGAATACATAAATATATTCCTAGTTAAATAAGGGTAATTAATATTGTACGAGTCTGCAGTATAGTTGAAATATTTACATATGTATAAATATCATCAAATGACACACTTTTCATTTGTAAAGAGATTAGGGATTGTGGTATATAACCATGACAATTATTTATTTTTCTAAGAATTTTTAAATAAATAGCATGGCTCTTCTAATTTTAAATTTTAACAATGCGATATAATTACATCATTTGAAATATAGACATATGACATAGAAATGTATAGACATTCCATTGATATTTTGTCTACAACAATTCATCCAAAAAAAACTAGTTTTTACTAATTGTTAATCTATTAAAGATTGTAAACTTCTTTTTGTTCATAATATTATACTATATATTTTTTTATGATTTTGTTATTGTGAACCTGTACCATCACTGAAAACAATTTATCCGTTTGAGTAAGCTATTAACAATTTAATTTTTTTCTATAATCTCTAAAAAAATTCTTTTATTAAATTAATTCTTAAATTAAAAAAAAAATTATATTATAATTTAGAGTGATAGGAAAAACTTGATAATTTCTGCTGCCATATAGTTAGGATGGGATATATAAATAGCTTCTCACTACTAACATTCAACCTATGACCATTTTGACTTAACCAATCAATAAGCTTCTTTAAACTTTTTTAGAGTATAGACTTTTTATATGTAAACTAAGATGATGTCTGCAAAGATCTGTGTTAGTTGATCAATCTTTTCCTGCATCCAAACTAATTTTTAATAAACAAATTATTCATATCAAAGCAGTTGACTATAAACACATATTTTAAGAAGTTACTCAGAAGAGCATTTTCATAGGGATTATATCTTGAAGGAAATAGATTAAATAGTCGATTTTTTAATTATTTATCAGATACTAAACCATTCTGAATTAACAGATTAATTATTAGAAGATAATTTTTTAATTCAATTATAATTTTTTTTTGAAAAAAACGGCAATAAACAATCGTTCACAAATCGACTTTTTATCTTGTATATTTATACTAGTTAATCATGGGTTACAAGTGACAACAAGCAAAACTTTTGAAGTTGCTTTTGTTTTTGATAACATTAGTAACGATGTTGTTTTAGTTGTTTAATCTTGCTAATATTTTGAACTCTATTAATCTGGCTATCCAATTTTTATTCTAAAATTTGTCTATATGGTCCAAAAAATTCCATTAATTCTTTAAATTAATAATAATAATGCATGGTATTATTATTTAGCAATTTTCAATAATACTTATCAAAACAACAACAAAAATTTTTTTTTGCTGATATGAACCAAGTCTGTCGAACAGATTACAAATCGGAAAACCATTATTCTAATTATAAGCGAAATTTTTTTATAAGATAGTTTGTTAATATGTACGAAGGGCGTTATCCAGGAAAAACATTTATACGGCGTTTTTAGGAGGCTGTCGTCAGCTGGCGGAAAAAAAAGAATCCGACATTATAAAAAAATATAAGGCAAGTCATGACTTATACTCACCGTCCCTTAACTCAATTCATAACGCAAGACTCCACAATAGTAAAAAAATAAGAAATTATTTAGATGCCTAAAATTTATTGATGAGTTGTAAATTTATTGATAAGTTGTTTTTTTTTGGTGGAATACTTAGCAGGAACAAATTTTTTTTTTGTAAATGTAAAATTATAAAAAAGATTTTTTCTTAACTTGTTTTATTTTCAGTAAGCTTCTTTATCTTTTTCTATATTTATTTTTCTTCTTTGCGTGAAACGGTAGAGAAAAAAACAAAAACGAAAGATAATTGTTTAAATATTCATCTTCATTATTATTTTTTTTGTAACTATTTTTATTATATAATTTTTATATTTAAATAAACTTTTATGCGTAAGTTTTCATCTAAATTTATTATTTTTTAAAATATTGCAATAATTGTGACGATATAGTGTTAAATATGATATTAAAGCACAGTACGATTGTATTGCGATTTCAAATATCGATAAATAAAAAAATTCACTGATAGATTATATATACTGATAACGGAATAGCTTTTAGATGAGCAACTTGCTTGGGTTCTCAATTTCGATCAAATAGCTTTCATGGCAATATTCTATTTTAAATTTTTAAAGAAGTAATATAAAATAATAATTTGAAAATTAAATTTTAGTATTTGGAAACTAAAAAAAAAAATATATATATGTAAATATAATAATCCTTTATTATGTTTTACGCAAATAAAACCTCTATAAATAATTAAAATTTATTTCCATTAATGTCATTTTTAAAATTATTAATTCTGAAAAGATTTTTGTAACTTTTTTTACTTAAAAAATACAGCTGTAAAAATGTAAATTAAGAGTTTTTAAATAATAAAAACAAATTAAAAACAAAACAAAATAACAATATAATAAACACAACGAAAACTCTAAACTAGAGAGAGAACAACAGTCGTCAATTAAAAAATAAAGATTTTTTTTAATTTTTTGAAAGACCTTGCTAATTAATGACCTTTTGACCTTGCTAGTTGACTACATCTTTTTTCACACAAAAAAAAAACGATTGTTGTCGATCAACTTTCTAATTCATAATACCTTACTTTTGCCTCCCACTTTTTTCTTTACAACCTTTTTTTTTAATTTTTTTTTATTTTATGAAATTTGAATAAGAGGACTTTCTTTAGAAATTATCTTTGCAATCCGTATCGTCGGCCCTGCGTTGTGCGTACGTATGTTTTTTACGCCTTTTTTAGGAGTCCAATATTGGTTTTTTAATACATTTTTTAAAGCAGCATCAACACAAATGTTTTCCCCATCCAAAAAGGTTATACGTTATGTGATGCTACAGGGCTGACGTCAGGGATTTCAAAGTGGAGAAAAAGACTTTAGAAAAAAATGATGGAGGAGGTGGTGGGAGGCAGGGTCCTTTGCCCCAAATGTTGTCGTCTTTGCGCTACTGTGACCCCAAGGATATTAAATATTTCTTTTATAAGATTACTTCTTAATCTGTATTAATATAGTAAATGAATAAATATTCTTAATATAGTAAATGAATAAATTCATTTACTATAATAGATCTATAATATAGTACTATAATATAGATCTATAATATATGATCTATAATATAGACTATAAAATTTTCAGTATTAAAGTATTTTAATACTGAAAAGTCACATTGAAGCTTTTTTAAATAAATCACAATGAAAAGAACAAGTTGAGGTTGGATTTATACATACAGGTTTTCCTTTATTTTTGGAAATATGCTGTCCATTAATTATGTCAACTAATTAGGGGTAATTAAATGTTAACATAATTTTTTAGAAGGAGGTCACTGGAAGATTGTCAAGTTGTTGACAAGGAAAAGAGGTAAAAATTCCCTGAAAATTGTTGACATATTAAATGGACATAATTAATGGAGTAAGCTATTCTGTAAAGATATACGGCATCTTATCATTTATGCAACAGTAAATGAAAAGACAGTTTTCAATTTTTATTTAATTGAAAAAGTCTATTATTTGTGAGGGAATTGTATGGTAAAAAAATTGATTACTCATATAGCTTTTTTGTGAATAAAGAGCTATATGAATAATTAATTTTTTTGATTATTCATTTAGCTTTTTGTTCACAAAAAATAGCTCTTCTATTAAAAAACAAAGGCACATTTCTTAATAGAATAGCTTTGTCCCCAAGATAAACAATCATAGGTGAGGTGTGAACCAAATTAAGTAAAATATATAGATTTTAATGTTTTTTTTTTGTCAACAACATGTCTGAGTTTAGACAGAATTACATTTAATCTATTTAATTTTAATGTTAAATGAATGATGTGATCATTCTAGGTTAAACTTTCATCAATATTTATTGCAAGGTGGTTAGCAGTGCCAACTACCTTGAAATAAAGATTGATGAAAGTTAATTAAATGGGAAAAAAGATTTTCCCCTGAAGTGTGCTAACTGTTAGCACACTTCAGGGGAAAACTGTTAGCACACTTCAGGGGAAAATTTTTTTTCCCATTTAATCTTATTTTATATTATAAGTTTTAAAACTTTTAACCTTTGTTTAAAAATAATCAACTCAGTTTTTTTTGTATTTAGAGAAATTTTGTAGGCAGTTTTAATCAGTTGCAGAATTTTTTTAGATTATAATTAACATATTTGTTTATTTTATTTATTGATTTATATAGAGAGTATATATAAATTATGTATAGAGAAGGTTTGTGTCATCAGTGAAGTGTTGACTCTACAAAATTTTATTGCTTTAGATAAATCATTTACATAGATTAAGAACAATAATAGACCCAGTGCAGACCCTTGAGCCAACAACGACATTGAAAAAATTTGGTTGATCTGCTGACAAACACAAACTGTTTTCTATTTGTAAAAAAAGATTTGAACCAGGAATTTGAAACTCCTCTTATACCATAGTAATCTATTTTTTTAAATAAAGTTTTAATATCTACAGTATCAAAAGCTTTTTGTAGATCTATAAAGATACTACAACTAAACAATCCTTTATCTAGGCCATTTGTAATATTTTTTAGTCAGTCTTAATAAAGAAATGATCTAGACTAATTTGTTCGGAAACCAAATTGTACAGAATATTGGAATTGTTAAGGAAGTTGTAAACTCAATTGAAAATAAGCCTTTGCTAAAATTTTATCAATGTTGAAGAGCAGGAATATTGTCTATAGTTAGATACTAAAAACTTTGAATCATTTTTAAAAATAGGAACAACTTAAACAATCTTTAAAATATCATGAAAAACTCAGTTTGAGAATGAGATATTGAAAATATTTGACAAAATCATTGAAATTTCATTTCTGAGTAGTTTTAAGATATTGAATGGGATACTTGTAAGACCAGATGACTTGGATGAATGAAAGGATTCTATAACCTTTTTTATTTGATAACCAGATTCTTTTTTTACTAAGCCAATTGACAGACTTAGTAAAGTAGGAATTTGGTGAAGGGCTCGATAATTAATCTGTTAAGCGATTCTTATATAAAGGAATGTTTGATTGAACATCTAAGCCAACATTTGGAAAGTAGTTGTCAAAAGATTTACAGATGTCAATGGGATTAGTTAGGGTTATTAGTTAGGGTTATGTTATTCTGGAGAATCATGGTTGTTGAAACATGAGAAGTAGACTTAAAATTGATAATATTAGAGATACCTTTCCATGTTGCTTTAATGTTAAGTATATATTTTTTTAAATAGTTGTTATTTCAATTTTTTATTACTTTTTTTAATTATTAGTTAAAGTGTGTTAGAATAGTTTTTGTAATCATTATAAAATACAATTTTGTTATCAGAGTCCTTGAACTGTATAAATTTAACAAAAAACTTCTTTGTTTATTTAATAGAGAGTTTTAGATAATCAGAGATTCATGGTTTGACTTGTATATTATATCCAGTGGCAGATTGAGGTTTAGTGTCGCGGGGGGGCCAAGTCAATAAATAGGGGCGACCGGGGTTGTCTTCAGTAATTTGATTTTATAATTTTTTTTTTTGATTGTTTTAGGGGGCTTTGTTAGACCGTTCTAGGGGGGCGTTGGGGGGCAGCTTGCCCCCCCCCCCCACGCTCTATACCAAATTCGCCACTGATTATACCCATTTCTGTTAACCTTCTAAAAGTAGCATTAATATCAAGCTATTTATTTATAGTGTTGATAGTTTTAGGAAGCAAGCTATTACAGTCATTATCACAAGAATAATTGGCAATCATTATTATAAACTTTTTTAAATTCAGTTAAAAATGATGCCTTGTTAAAAACTTATCGATTCTTTTATAGACAGCTGGTTTTTTGTTAGGTGTTACTTTTATGATGTCATGAGCAAACAGAAATTGAGGAATGTGATCAGATATATTGATATGTAGTGGTATTTCCTGCAGTAAAATTATTTAAGGTTTGAAAATATGTTGTCAATTAATGTTTTAAATTAATTAACTAAATCAGTAGGATGGATAATATGAGGTAAAAAGTAGTTAAAAAATAGTGAATTAAAGAATTCTTGAGTTGAATGTGAATCACTATTAATAAAATCTATATTAAAATCATCCAATAGAAATACAGTTTTATTTTCTTTAAAAAGCTTGTCTAGTAATGGAAAAATATAGAATCTTGGATTAACAATTTAACTTTGAACCTTTGCAAAAAAATTCGATTTTGGACTAACAAAATTGCTGTTTACTAAGAAAAGTTTAAAGCCTTTCTATATACCCATGGTGTTGTATAAATAATTGCTTGTTCTTGCCACACAATGGATACATTATACTGGATATATTATAAGGATGTCTGGATACCTTATAACTAATTTGTCCTAAAAAGGAAAAATTAGCTATAAGGTATCCAGACATTCAGTCACATCTGAGCACTAAAAACACCACAAATGATGACAGTACAAATGAGAATCATGTGTGATGTTGAAGGTCAAGAAAATGGCTCTTATGACAAAATTCTAGAAAGATAAGTTGCACTTTTTAACTGAGGTTAAACTTTAGACTTATTTAAAGGCTTTCAAATATCCTTAAAAAAGGTCAAGCTTCTGGATCTTGCCTTTAACAGTAGAATCTTTGCTGCCTGAAGCCAATGTGAGTCTTTTTAGAACTAGACATGCAACACTGACTGCATGATATTTAATTAATAGACAGTTAGAGACTCTTTACTGGTTCTAGTTAAAAATTCCCAAAGCGATTTTTATAACGATAATACAAAGTTATTTGTTTTGGTTGCGCATGTCTTAGTAATAAAAGAGAGCATTGAATCTATACAATATTCAATGTGATAACTTACACAAAACATGCCTGAAAGATTTGTAGCTCAAGGTTTTTGCACTTCTTCTGAAAATGCAGATAAGTTATACTAAACACATGTTTCTAATGCCTATGGAGCTGCCATAATTACAAGGCTCACTATGAAGTGAGGGATTAACTTCCTTAATTGGAATTTGTTATAGATTAGCACACTGTGGAACATCAATTCTTTGTAGACCCACTAAAGATTTATCTGCATCTGTTCACATTAAACTGTAAATATTGAAAAATATTGTAAACAGTTTGAATCTAGAAGAATAGATTTTTTAATAGCTCAAGGGAAAATTTGGAGCAGTTTAAACAGGTGTCAAACTCAAAGCTGGTGTTTTCATCAGCCTTCAATACTTAAAGTAGTGCACAACAGCATTTGTTATTGACAGCAACAGTTATTGACAGACTCTTAAGAAACTGGAGCATGAAATGTCTCTTTCATTTTTTTAGAAATTATTGACTTTATTGATATGTTGATATGATTGAAAAATGGCAGGAGCTTCCAAAAGAGTGAAGAGTGATTTCATAAAAAATGCATCATTTCATTTTTTTGATAATTTTCTGATGATATTTAATTGTTTATACTCAATTTTCCATACAATCTAATATTTTTATTTACTAAGGTTACAAAAACCTCATTATTGTTATTTACTTTTTTTTCAATCTGGGTTCGTCCATAAATTACATCACTCAATTTTAAACTGTTTTTGACCTCCCCCTTGTCACAAAATTGTAACACTTAGTAGCAAGTTTTGTATGAATCGTCACAAAACCACTAACCCCCTCCCCCTTAGAGCGTGACTGCAAAAGTATAACAAAAGTTTCTTGTAATTTTAGTGAAATGAGTATTTGCTATGATTACACTAGACATAAAGTATCTGCTAAAGATACTTAAAATAAAATATAACTTGAAAAAATATATTCACAAATTTTATAACTGGGTATTTCCGACTACCAAGTAAATGCAGATGCAAAACTTATGCAGTGACTATAATTTAAAAAAAGTTTCATGAGTGTTATCTTTTTTTTTAAAAAAAAAAAGGTAAAACCTAGTTTTTGTAAAAGTAGTGCTTAAAACTTTAGCAGGTTTCTTTTAGTAAGAACTAGTTTTGTTTCGCTGAGATTCACTAGTCCATTACTTATTGGATACTTACAATATAAGTTCCCACACTACCTTGTCTGATTTTTTCAAATGTTCTTACTTTGAGATCTGTTGTAAATTTTTTAAACAATACATATATGCGAGAGTTGTATATTTGTAGAGTTGTATATCGCATTGTGATGTCATACTGAAATAAAGAGTTGTTAGGGACTTCATTACATACTGAATTAGCAAGAACATGCAGAAAAGAAGAAACTGCTGCATTGACTAAGGGTTTGGGTTGGGGTAGCTATAAGTTTTTTCCATTCTTTTTTTTTTCATTTTTTTTTTTTAAATGCTATGAAATAAAAAAAGTCTGCAAATGCATATCTATATTCTCCATAGTAGATGTTTATTTAGTTTATTTTTTATATTGTATAACCTTTTATTGTACATATTTATGTAAAGTATAAATATAAATGTATTATATGCATACATCTTCTATTATATATATATATATATATATATATATATATATATATATATATATATATATATATATATATAGTTTATTTTTTATATTGTATAACCTTTTATTGTATATATTTATGTATATTATAAATATAAGTGTATTATATGCATACATCTTCTATTATATATATATATATATATATATATATATATATATATATATATATATATATATATATATATATATATATATATATATATATATATATGCATACATATATGTATATATATATATAATATATATATATACATATATATATATATATATATATATATATATATATATATATATATATATATATATATATATATATATATGTATATATACACACACACACACATATATATATATATGTATATATATATATATATATATATATATATATATATATATATATATATATATATATATATATATATATATATATATATATATATCATTGATGTACAATGTGATCAGTAAAAATTTAAAAATCTTATATTCAGGAAGATTATTTGAATTTGACATCAAGCTAAATCCACTTAAATTAACTAACTCAAATAAAAATCAATTTGATGCAGCTATTAGTTATAAGGAGAGGTTATGGCCTGGTGCTATTATCCCCTACACATTTGGTGAAACTTTAGGTAAGTTAGAAATTAGTTTTTTAATTTTTAAAATATTCTTTGTCATGATTGATGCAAGCAATAAAAAGTATATAATTGTATTAATAAAATTGACTTCTAGTAATTATTCAGCCAAATAAATTTTTTTTAACTTTTATAGTTACCACAGAAAATGAATTGCCACAATGTATTATTTATAATAAAATTTTCAGCCAAATATGTAGAAAACAACAAACTGCAATGCCACTTTGATACTACATATGTGCATATTTCTTAGCTAACTTTGCTGATAAGAAGATATAGTACTTTAAGAATAAATTTTCTTTTTTGAGCGCATTTAAAAAAAAATCATTTGCATGGTCAGCAATAACTTTGAACGTGCGTTTTTCCTGTCCAAGCCTGGTTACATTGTTCATATGAACAACGTAACCAGGCTAGTTACATTGTTTACATAAAGTTGATCAAAGAAAAGTTTTTTTATTTGTAAATTTTCTTGAATTGGCTATCGCTTTGCATTTTTTTGATAAATTATAAATTGGTTTTTGGAAATGTTAATGTTTTTAATTAAAACTATTAAAAAATAATTTAAATATTGTAGTTTTAATTAAAAACGTTAACATTTTAAAAAATCAATTTATAGTTTATCAAAAAAATGCAAAGCAGTAGCCAATTCAAGAAAATTTTCAAATAAAAAAACTTGTCTTTGACCAACTTCATGTAAACAATGTAACTAGCCTGGTTACATTGTTCATATGAACAATGTTACCAGGCTTGGACAGAAATAATGCGGGATCAAAGTTATGAAACAGCTATTAGCAGGTTTATCTCCACGAAAATTTGTCACAGTAACTTAAAATATTAAAAATATTAAAAAATTGTCATATTCATTTGCCAGAAAGCCATTATTTTAAAGTTTGATGACTGTTGATTTCTTGGCATTTTCTTGTTTACTTTGATATATGGTTGTTTAGAATGATTTTCAATACCAACATTTGTTTCCATTGCTTGAACCATTTCAGCCTTGGTAGCTGCACATATTTGGTCAAAAAAAACTGAAGGCAATTATTTGCTCAAGTACTATGTATGACAACACAATGCCTTTATTGCCACATTCACAACTGTTTAATTGATTTATACAATTCTAGCCTTTCAAAGCACTTAAAATCATTAAATGAAGCTTGAATGGTGTTAGATGCTGTAAACCATGTTTGGATATACACAAAAGAGATGAATATGTTAAATGAACAAACTATATTTTGTCTCACAATCAGTCATTCAAAATTTGAATGAAAAAAGTAAAATCTTCAATTAATAGATTGCTTTAGCCATCTATCTGGCTTGATAGATTGCTCCATGTGCCTCCAGATGGATGCCTCAAGGTGGGATATGTCCTATATAGATCAGTGATAATTCAAGAAGTTCTCTTTAGTCATTACAAAGTCGATTCTCCTTCTGTAAACATGACACAGCAAGTTCAATAGCCTCTTTCATCATCACTTTGTTGTTGTTGAAAGTTGTTGTTGTTTTCATCTGACTTATCATCCACAGTTCTGTCATGAACCATGCTCCTTGGAGTCTTTCAAACACCAAAATATCATGTCCAGTAGATAATCCAGCTAAGGAATTGAATATGTCTCCAAGGACCACCTCAAATATGGGATATTGGCCTAGAAACAAGGATAGATAAATGGCCCACTTTTTCTTTGTTTCTAGAAATATCTGGCAGCAGTTTTCTATCTTAGTGCACTACTAGTGGAACATATCGAATCTAGTTTCAAAAGCTGTCCTTCAACTTAGTCATTACATCATCCCTGTGTTTTATTCTGCTATGTTGAATTGACCAACAATTTAATGCTAGATCAGCTGGAGTTTGACCAACAGCAGCTGAATGAAGCCAAAGCATAGACTGCAATGGGATTGCTAATTTATGTTTTGTCAAGAGCTGCTGCAACTTATGGACTGATGATATTCTTTGGGCAAGGTAGTTTAGATTTTGGTGTCGTGGTTTCATCTTCAGACTCAACATTCTCTTTTTCAGTACTTCCTGCAAAATCTAAATCAAATGTTTCAACTGCTGCTTCACTATTTACTTTACTTGTAATCTTCCTCATTTTTTCTCGTTCAGCTCTGGACATTTTTGCGCCTTTTCTCTCTTTTTTCATCTGCACTTTGGTTGCCAACCTATTGTCAACTTCCGCCATTGAACTTGTACCTCTACCATCTTCTAGCTGATCAATGAAAAATGCTTTGTCTTTTGGATTTTATATTAAAACCTCGGACTCAGCATGTAAAATGTAAAATGTTTTTTCTAGGGATTCAATAAATGGTTTCTTTTTAGCTTTATGTGTAACTCCACCTCTTTTTCTATAAATCTGCTTTCTGTAAATTTCTCAACTCGTATATTTTCTTAAGTCTCCCTATTGCATGCTGCATTGTGGATATTGGCAAGTGAGCTTTATTCAAAAATCTGAAACTGTTTCAATAGCAATGGGTGTGCTTTTACAGTACAGTTTTGTAATATATCTTAAACTGGTGAGTACTTTTAAAATACTGTAGAGTCTGCTTTCTTGATGGAAGCTCCAAGAATAGAATCATTGGTAAATCCAACTAAATAAATCTCTGTATTGGATCTAGTTAAAAATGACTTTGAACATGCTATTCTGAAAATAATGATAAATATTGTAAACAAAATCAAGATGGGCAACTGGTAAAATTGTATTGTAATTAGGGTGACCAGACGTCCCGGTTTTTCAAGATTGTCCTGGTTTTAGGTGAACTGTCCCGGCTTCCCGAAAAAGGTTATCAGGACAGTCATTTGTCCCAGTTTTTGCTTTTTAAAAAAATCGTCCATAGATTATGTAAGGCAAACTTTCTAAATAAAAAAAAAACAGAAAAAGTCAAAGGTTTTCCTTCTTCTTATTTTGAATAAAAAATTAAATTTGCCCATTAAGTTCATTAAAAATTGCAGTGTAAAAAAGTTTTATATTTCCTACATCTGTTTTTTAAATATATTTTGCTTTGCGTAATTTGTAGACGATCCCTTATTTATTTTTCAACAAAGAGCCCGTCGTTTTGGCCAGCGTGTTGGTCAGCGTAATTGTATAAACCTGGTGTAAAAAATAAATCAGTAAATAAACCAGGTTTAAAAAAATTTAGGCAATAGAATTTTATAATTTTGAATTTAATTGCATTTGCGTTTTCTATTTTAACTTAAAATCTGTTAAAGAAAAATATTAATAATAAAAAGACTTTATAAACGTACTTAATTATTTTATATGCAATTTTTTTAATATACTTTAAATTCCCATTAATTTATTTTTAAACTGTCAATTATTAACGAAAGACTTTATATTTCTTGATTTTAAATTTAAAATTCTTTACTTAGTATTTTTTTTTGCTTAATTTTTTTTTCAAACTAGTTTTTAGTTGGAGTGCGAAAGTGTAAATGCATTTACAACAAAGATTTCTCCAAAGAATGGAAGTTTATAAGAAAGGCTAACACCTAGAAAAAGTAGAATCAGAGGCAATTCTACGAATAAAATGAGGGGGCGGGATAGGGGGGAGGGAAGAATCCTCAAAAAGTACTATATAAAAAAAAAGAAAAGTTTTTTTTTTCTTGCGTCCCGGATTTGTCTTTTTAAAATGTGGTCTCCCTAATTGTAATGAATATCAACATTTGGCTGGTTTTCTTGATTTACCTAGATTTAGAGTTGGTTCTAGCCTGTTAGGTTAAGTTTTTTTTAAATACAATACATATTTTTTTAATATTTAGTATACACATCTAAAAAAAATTATAAAAAAATAATTAAAAAACAAATGGGTATTTTATTGATTAAGTAGTAATAAGTAGTGCTGAGCTGTTTATAAGAATATAAACTGTTCATAAGAATTGCATTTCTGCTGCAAGATTGTGAAAAAATTACTTTTTTTATAAAATGTGATTAATTGTCTGCTAAAAAACAAACAAACAGTGGATTTGAGTAAAAATTTGCAATGGATCCTGGGATATAGTAAGTTTTAAGTATGTAAATAAATACAATTTTTTTCTAAGAATAAAAAGTACTGAAAAGTGAAACTGCTAACTACAGCATATTTTTGGCTTAATTTTTCTTAATGTGTTCCTGTACAAAAAAAAACAAAACACTGTGCTTAATAATTTTTGAAATATGTTGTAACTATCATTCACTGATTATGATAAATGAATTATCACTTTAGCTATTGTAAAGTGATTTTTTGTTGATCTTTGAGCCTTTTTCAGTCATTTAATGAACTTTATAATTTTTACCTCATTTTGGTAGCAAGTGATGTTTTTTTTAAAATACTGTTACCTGGAGCCTTGGATCAAACAAATCTAAATCCAAAATGGTTTCCTTAAATGATTGGGTAAAGGACTTTTGTTAATCTTTTGTTGCTAACTAAATTAGATCAAAACGTATCAATGTGATTCAAAAATATATATACACATTTTTTCTGTGGTTATTTTAGATGCTCCAAGAAGACCTAATGGTTGCATTAAGAGCACTGCAGAAGTTTAGGCTTGCTTTATTTCAAAAAAAAGCCTAGAGTAGACATTGAACCACAGATAAGTGAAGAATCCAGTATTTTTTTGCTGTTTGAGTTAACAGACATGACACAAACTCTAAACATTTCTATGTTTATAATAATGTCAAATAATGATGCTTTGCAAAATGTTACAATGATTGGAAGCTGGGAACAAAAAAAGCCCTAAACTATCATCCCCTGCCCCCAGGGTTAGCAAAAACCTGTTTTTTTTTAAAAAAAAAAAACCCGGCCTAGTGGGTTTTTTTGGGTAATTTTGTTTTTTTTGGGTATTTTTGGGTTTTTTTTTATTTTTTTATTTTTTATTTTTGTTAAAAATTTTTTTTGTTGGTTTAATAATATTGAAAACTAATATCATTTTTGAGTTTAAGCTTATTTAAAATATATTTTATATGTTTTTAAAATTTATAACAACACCTCAAATTATTTTGAATAAGTTTTTTTTTATTACAGTTTAAAAA